GTATATTCTATAATGATATATTTACTATACACTGATACACGTCTGGGCCGCCTGTGCTCAAACTCTTGGTGTACGGCAAAGCAAATTCGATCAGATCTTTTCACAAAGATTTCTCTTAAAGGGATACGGCAATATATTCTTTTTATTATTTCATTTGGAAGAACTTTTAAAATTATATGTAAATCTCTTTTACCGATTTTACATAACTTTATTTTTTCTTGAGATGTTTGAACAGAAAAAATTACAAATCAGCGAGCTTTCCGCCATCTTGGATTTTGGCACGCAAGAATTTTATCCATAGAGCAATTGGTTATTATGAGACCCAAATCATATACTTCAGTAACTATTTGAGATAAAAAACTGACGACTTTTCAAACAAGACCTAATGTTATTTGGTAATTAAGATGTAGTTTTATATGGCTAACCCTATTCTAACCCTCTAATTCTCTCTACCAACTCTAATTCTTACCTATTCTAACCCTAACCCTAATCCAAGTTTGTTTCTAAACCAATCTTGAAGAAAAATTTTTTGATGAAATATCATTCTTGAAATACAGTCACCAGCGGTGAACTGCTCATAGGTGGGACACATACAGGATCAAATTCGTCGCTAATTCGTCACTTTGATGCTGTCCCACCCCGCGTAAGACGGTATTGTCAATAGGTATTGTTTACGTCACGTTTTCGTCGCTAAATTTGCCCGAGCTATGATCAGACCATATTCTTTAAAGGGATACGGCAATATATTTTTTTATTATTTCATTTTAAAGAACTTTTAAAATTATATGTAAATATCTTTTACCGATTTTGCGTAACTTTATTATATTTCTTGAAATATTTTGACTTAAAATAATTTGCTGTCCGCCATCTTGGATTAATTTTTATCTCATTATCGGTGATTTTAGTGACGTCAAAAGCAGGGTTAGCCTGGGAACAGGCTCTCAAGCTGAATTGTCAGTAAAACCGTTGCTTTGTTACGTTTTGTCACGCTGAGGACAGCGAAATAACTTCTTCCTTGTATTCATAGACTCGACAATTATACAAATTTGTAGGGGAACTACAATATTTGTAGGGGAACGTAGGGGTAAATTGCATATTCGGTGCTGTAGGGGAAACGTAGGGAATTTCAGTGCCCGCGCTAGGTAAAATCAGGTTATCTAGAGTGGCAACCGTGGCGTATATGTGGTTTTTTCGAGAACTAGTAATTCAAACAGAACAAACGTACTCAAAAAGGTGTTTCAATATTTCATAAATATTGACTACTTTTGAAAAGTTGTGTGTATATATTTGTTAACATATGGTTAAAAATAACGCGCAATAAAGACGACGATAAATCGTGAACACATTCGTGCACAGTTCAATGTCAACAGTCATCTTCGAATCGTATTTGAATTCTTGGCCATTTTATATATACAGAGCCGGTATTCAAACGTTTCTTCTGATGAACTTAGTAACTGTGTAATTCTGTGTATGGTGAGCTGTTATGATGTAAGTATTTTTCTATCATTGAATGATTGATTCTGGTCATTCTACTATACAAGTAAACAATAAGTCGAAAACTCGAAATGTTAAATGTTCCAATGAACCAAAGGGGGCAAATCATTCTTAATATAATCTAATTAGTAATTATTGCAAATTTACAACATGATATCAGAAGATCAATTTCCTCTACCCATCTATGCCTCTACCTAATTTTAGTACAGATATAAATGCACAATGAGTACCGTGTGCATCTTTAAACATCGTTTTATAGCAGCAAGTGGGTTCATCAAAGACAATTAGGCCTATGTAAAGTTTAGCCTTTTTCACTTGAGAACTGGATTGGGTTAAAACACAGGAACATCTTGTAAACCAATCATCAAATTAAACTGCAGGAAATTAAAATTAGATGGTGATGCGAGACATTATTGGTATAGAAAGGCATTTGGAAGCAATATGGTATAGAAAAATCAAAATTTAAATTAAAATGAAGCTAAATAAGTAAATCTTGAAAAGAAATGACTTCACATAACAATTGTATGATGAGGGATGCCCAACACAATTTTAATTGTCTAAAATATAAAATATCTCAACAGTTGGTAGTTCATGTTTGATAACTTATACTTATAGCCATTTTCCTGAAATGTGGTATTTTTCGTCTTTGAGATAAGATAATTCTTTACCAATTTGACCAAACGTACTGGCTGAAATTTTCAGTGTTGATAGAACTCATCATGATAAGTCTACACGGTGGGAATCGAACCTACGCCAGGTGTAGATAGGCACTCAGGGTAACATCACTTATCTCATACCTAGCGTATTAGCGGCTTTCCTAGTGGCTACGAGGAGGTGCGTTCAATCTCGAACCCACCTGCTGACGTATGTTTAGGAGGTGGGTTCGAGATCGATGTTTCGACGGCGGCCATTATGAAGCGATTTGAACAAATTTCAGACGAAGATTTAAATAAAAAATAAATTAACTGTTTTTAATTGTTTTATAATTATTATTTTTTTATTTTGTTTGATAAAAATGGAATATTCTGTATTCAAAGTGGAAGAAAAGAAAGATGGCTTCGGCACGGGCAGATTAAAAAAATCTTGGCAATGTTCTCGCAGAATGTGTGCATTTCTCTTTTCAAGAATAAGGGAACTGATTGTAGAGAATTTTTTTAGCTTCAATTTAAGCCTAAGTTTGTTTGTTTGCGTAGTATGTTGGCGGCTAAAATGTTCGTTATCCAAACAAGAAATTACATACTAAAATGGGTAAATTCTTCTGTCACTCTGTCAGTACTTTTTAGTATTTTACCGAAATGGCATGTGATAAACGTCGGTGCGTCCAATCCCGGACTCATCTCCCTACAAGTATGTTTGTTATAAAGCATCATATTCACCTGAGTTCACCTGAGTACATTACACCAACACAGAAAAAAATCAATGTTACAGTATTTAGTCTTTCAGAGGTAATTGGGTACTTCTACAGGCTTCCGCAATCCATCCTAGTTCTCCGGCCTTATCTCTCTGCCAGACAGGGTCTGGGCCAACCTCGTACCCAGGGCTTCTGCGCTTAATGAGCCACAAGCGCAGAACCCCTGCGTATGAGGTTGCAAAATGGCATATCCAAATAACCTCGCCCCCAGGGCGCCATCCATAGATATCTCATATGGCGCCATCACGAAGAAGACCCTGGGGACGAGGTTGATCGACTGAAAACAAGTCTAGTTTCAACTTCTTGAATGTTGCACTTCCGGATCGAGGGTTTACTTGAACAACTTAAAACTTTCTTAATAGAAAGTTTTCTTATTCGCAGTTTTTTTCAGATAGTGTGATGAAAACCTTGTCTCCAACAAAAATTTCACTTGGAAATCGAAAATTGTTTTCGAAATTTCGAGGATTGTATTGCTTCCAAGTGGTCATATTTTGTTTCGCCATGCAGCGACAATGTTTTCAAAAGTAGGCAACGAAGAGACCTCTAGCTTTGGCCATCAAGAGCTGCTTGCATAAAGCACCCTGCTATTAATTAGCAAGGATATGTCAATCATTGGGGGAGAGGAGAAATAAAGGGATCCTCATAATTTTACGTCTATTCGCTGGGTCCATTCTGGGCATCCTCACATTTTCTCGAATCTCGATTCGGTATTGCCTTATGCTACAAAAACTCGACGTTATTATCACTCAGTTTTGAATTTGCGCATCAATTAATAAATGAAAAGGATAATCAAATAGAGTTTTAATCGCCAAGAAGATTGTCTTCTAGATTGTTTGTATAGCTTCTTCTTCTCAAAATCCGTTACCATGAGCCGCACGTTTTGTGGGTTAAAATCGTTCAATCGCCACTTTAATTCGGGCACGAACATGAAACTGCATGCCCATTTTGGGATGGGCTTCAGACACAGATCATATTTCCCCACCCACGGAATCAGATGAAACAGCTTCAGACAGTGAATATATGTAGAACCGTTTTAAAAACTCTCTCATTCCGTCATTTGTGACGAATTACTTAAATTTCTGTTAGTTTTAGCTTAGTTTGCACTTTTGTTTTGTGTAAATACCTCTTATAACTCTTAGTTAACTTCCAAAAATAGTAAATCAGTTGCAAAGACAAATTCTGTTTTCAATAAATTCAATTTAAATTCTGAGCCAGATGGCGGGAGTCAATCACTCAGGATCTAAATTGGAACTGGATGAACGTGACCGTTGGCACAACCAAACCAAATTTTTCGCCCGATGTCATATCAAATGGAAAAATAAAGTATATATAACTTTTACTAGAAGTTATTTCAGTAACTATAAGTCAGAATAAATAATGTGGGATATTCCGAACAAGGTGAAAGAATTTCTCAGGATTAATTGTCAAGTTAACCCAAACCAAGCATGCAAATTGCAAAAAGTTTCTTTATACTTATGCAAAATAGAACTGTTTAATATTTGGTTTAATTACATAATTAAGGAAGTTCTTTGTTTAGTCTCACAAGCACAAACACAAACAGTACGATGAATTCCTGCCAAGAAAAGATAATTCGATAATATTCAATCCGTATTAAGCCTAGATCTTAAAAATGGTACTTTGGACTGTCGTTGACAATGATTACAGTATACCACATAGCAAAAGTTAAGCTATATTAATTTTTACTATGCGAACTTACAACTATATAATGAAATTGTTGCCACTCGATCATCAGTTTTAATAGCGATCAAGTCGCTTCAATTATATAGCAGGCCGGTCTAAACAAGCCAGTTGTATTGTCGTATTTGGTAACTATATACACTATAAACAAGTTCCATAACAACTCAACATAAATTTAGTTTGCAGGTCGAGGTGTCGAATTATATCCGACCATAGCATAGATATCTTATAGTCGTCGGCGGGTTATTATTTCGTTATGCTTCGAGTATTACACTATAACGCTCACGCATTAATTAACTTAAAAGAAAAATTAGAATGCAATGCAAGACTTTATTTATAGAATCAGTTGAATAACATATTTAAACAAAGAGTTTTGGAACTATCGTAGACGTAGGCACAGGTATAAGTATATAGTCAACAGCGTTTATCCGGTCATACAGTATATGTTGGGTCTTTGCACAGTGGTTTTATCATCATGTATCTAAAGGTAAGGTTATATATTTTAAAAATATGCACTACTACATGACATAATGGTTGTTCAAATTATATAGTTCAATACAGCATAGTAATTTGCTACATCTGGTCCTTTTTAATCAGTAATCCAATAGGCAATACTTAATTGTAACTTCGAATCAGTGATTGATACTTGATCTATATTGGCATGCATGCATATATCCTTCTTCGCGGCAAACAACTCACTTTGGTTTTTGTCCTTTGGGAGGTAGTTCTAGCATGAGTATTTACTGTAGTTGAAAGTGAAATGATTATCTTAATACGAGAAGGGTCGTAAAAGGCGAAAGAAATAAAGAGAATATAGTTGCATGATTGTCGAGTTCAGATTGTTCAGCTGGTACATCTATATGGTAATATGGCGGTATTTCCCATACACGTTCCTAAGTTACAAGTAACCTAATTTTGATTGCGCTCGAGCGAGAAAATGCTCAGTCGCGGGGGACAAATACGATGAAAGGTATATGCCATAAAAAAACAAACCATAAGTCACCTGCGCTGGCTGCGCATATATAGGAAGAGCAAAAGGAAGAATAAGTTTTGTTATCAATATGAGACACACCCCCAGATGGCCAGATTCGACTTAAAGATCGCGCTATCTGCTAGGCCTGCCCGCTTCGGTATAATGTATTTTGCCAGAGAGACTGAATGCCAGATTGAAATTGGTTTCATTACATTGGAATGTCATGCAGTAGAGTGAGGAGTTTTCGACGTAGCTCAGAGAATGAAATCCCATGACCAGATCGAAATACTCGTAAATATAGTTCCATATATTTTTATCTATCTCTTACGATTGACTACCTACCTCTGCATTTCCGCGCATCTGAACAGAAAATATGTTCCTTCTATTCATCTTTTAACAAACTGGCAATGTCTATCAACGTCGGGCAAAATCCCACACCTCCACCCCACCCCCTCCCTCATTTTTCCAACCCGTATGGCTAATGATAAGTGACTACGAATAAGTTGCACATCCGCCACCGGAAATCGAAAATTCCTGTCTTCAGTCAAGGGTACTAACGTTCGTCTGATCTAAACTTATCACGTTTTGTCCAAACAGTTCGATATGCGGCTATAGGTTATTGCAGGGCCGTTCCTAGACCGGCGATAATTGGGGGTGTATATTCATATTTTCATGTTCACATACAGTAAAAACAATCGCTTTGCTTTCAAAAGAAATCCGCCGGGCAGAACGCGATTATATCAATATACACCCTCCTCCCCAATTATCGCACTAGGAACGGCCCTGGGTTATTGTATCTGTTCATGATCAATCACGTCTTAAATCAGTTCTGCATTCTGTTATTTGTACAAACGATTGATAGAAATTTTAACTAATTTTAATCATTGAACTGATAGGAAATTCTTGTTCCAGAAGCTGTTCATACGCCGTAACATATCTTTTAATACTTAAAACGTCTTCGATGCTCGCTGCGGACTCATGACGTTTTATGAGAAGAGTCTACCATTCTACCGAATCGAAAGTAGTGGGTCATCTAATTCTGGTACTCACGTCTCACAGAGAATGTTGACAGGGAGGGGGTGGGATAACCGAAAACTTATCTTTCACTGTATCCGTCGTTCTCCATGAGCAGAAATGAGTCACGAGGTGGCTTCCAGTGGCGCCCTTGAAAAGAGTATATTCTAAGAGCAATGTTGTGGGACTGAAATGATAATATAACAAGCTAAGGCTTACTGTTCTCCAAAGAGGTGGGGTGGAGTGGCAAGATGCGGGGGTGAAAAGGCGTGGAAGGTGCGACATGTATACATGGAAAGTTGTAGTATGTGTTTTTGGTTCTTGCAAATTTTTCAATTATGTTGTTTTGAACTTAACTTGAAATAAAAGATTCGATATACAGACATTTTTCATGTTGATCCTGGAGCCACATAAATGATCTAATGATCCTAGTCATCAACTACAGATTACTAAAATCATTACTGCATCATTTTTACAAGTTTTACACTAGAGTTACAAACACCTTCAAGGTTATGATGATATAATCTGCTAATTTTGGAAAGTCATCCTCTCCCCAGCTAAGCCTCTCTCTTCTACACCCTTGTCTAATAGTCTTTTTAATGCTAGGTAATGTGCATGAATTAGGAAATAACTGAGACAATTTTACATATTTTTCCTAGAGTTTCTCGACAAATATTGTTCTAACCGCCATCCTGTTTATCATGATTCATGTTAACAAATCAGTTGCTCGTATGGAACGTGGCAGTTCAAATCTAAGGAAATTCCTGAAGTAAGTACAAAACGATGATCATGCATGCCCGTAAAGTCAGGCGTACAAGGTGCATGGTATACGTGTTAGAGCGCTTTCGATCTGGCTACGAGATTGTATACGAGATTGATTTATTTGGATACCATGTAGAACTTACTTACTTACTTACTTACTTATTCACAAAGAGGAATAGCCCCCTGGTAGCTAGAGGATCATAAACATTCACAAAGTTCGTACACTTCATCCAGTTTCATTTGTTTTAATGTAACCTTATTACCAAATCATGTGTAAAAAGTCAATTTTCATATTTCAGATACGATGAGGAGAAAATTTCTTGGCTGAGACAAAAGCGAACCCATGCATACAGAGATCCCTGTGAAAAAGACGAAAGCGTTGTAAATACAGGTAGTTTGGACACCGACAGTTGCTCAACTTGTATGTACTTTCCATCAACACTCAAAGAAGTCAAGTGTAGCACGGGAAATGGTTTAAATGTGAGGGGCCAAACAAGTTGTAATTATAATATTGATGGTGATTGTATTAACATCGAAGCAACTATAAAAGTAATCAAAGTATATTCAAATGGTCAGCATGTAGAACGTGATGTCCATCTCAAGGTTGGATGTGCGTGTATGTTGCTGCCGGTTTAAGTTTTATGAAGCTTCATCATCTTTGTTCTTTACGTAACTGTATTGGGAACTCTTAGATAGACATTCGTCTAAGCACGGTTAACTGTAATAGCTCAAGATTGTACATTGTAGTTAGGGCATTTTAACAAGTGGAAATTACTGGTAAAGATTAATAGATCTCAGTCCTCAGTTTCGCATGCAAATTTTGTCAGTATAATTTATTGCTTGAATGTATTACTGAACTATATATTCTATATATAGTGGGGTGTGGAACACCTAATTGGACTGGCTGTACGAAGGCTGGAAGTCAATTGTACAAGGAGTAATTCTTAGTAAATGTGAGGAGCAAACAAATTTGTGGATATAATATTTCAGTTGATTGTTTGGACATCGTCGCAACATTAACAGTATGAGGGTATACGTTGGTCAGGGACGTGGTACACCACGTCATGTCAGTCTCAAGGTTGGATATGTGCGTGCATGTTGCCGTCCTTTGGATGAATCTTCATCTTTGCTTTTTATCTAACTGTATTGTGAACTCCCATGTAAATATTCGTCTAAACACCGCTAACTAATAGCTCAAGGTTGTTGATTGTAGTCCTGGGATTTAACAAGGGGAACTCAATGGCACAGAATTTAATTAGCCTTTTACCAAAAGAGATCACAATGCGTTCTGGGGTTGTTTGCATGGAGGGACAGATTACATGGTGACAGGCGTCAAATATGTGAAGGAGTAGAAGTATCTACTATCAAATATCAACTTTTTAGATGGCCAAAAATGAAATATCTCCTTTTTACATTAAACATTTAATTTAAACGTCTGCTGCCATATTTCTTATCCCTCCAACTTGGGATTCGCGCGACTAGACCCAGGATTTTGGGAAATGGCTAACAGATCTCCTCAGTTTCCGCAAATTTCGTATCACTCAAGACACATTGATTGCATCTATTGCTGAACACCCATAACATATATGTAAAACTTTATCTTAATTTAGATTATTATTAGTAAGCCATATTTTGTAATTACAATCAAAATTTTAAGTTCAACACGCGTTTCTAAAGTATTTTTTCAATGCAGTTGGGGCAAAACATGCTAAAAGCCACCGTATTTACTCGTTTAAGCGCCGCGGCACTATTTAAATTTTTAGCAATTAGCAATAAAATATGACATAAAAAAAACCGAGGTTTGTTACATCCTCGTACCCAGGGCGTTTTCCTTCCGCGGTTGGGCGTCAGGAACAATTTTTCAGACGGTGTTTCGATTAAGCGCCGCGTTGTTGTGAATATATGCGGCGATAATACGAGGGCGGCGCTCTTAAGGCTCTTTAATAATTTTGTTCTCATATGCAGTGCTTAATCTGGGGCGACGCTCAAATGAGTTTGTACGCTTAAATGAGTAAATACGGTATGATGACGGGAACGTCAAAATAGTAGACTCTCAAATTGGCTTCATTTTTGGAGTCTACCGGAACAGTAGAACGCCTATGTTGTCGTCGAGTTTCGGGCAGAGTATACAAGGATTCACTTTTCGGAGATTTCCGGATTACGCTTGTTTACGCTGTTGTTCGATCAATGTGGCCAGCGGATATTTGCGCCGCACAGGCGGTCCAATTGCAGGGTGAATGATCAGGAGTTGCGGGTTTTTAATGGCTTTTATCACTGATATACAGCTTTTATAAACAAATTTTACACTCAACCAAACCTATTCGAAAAACATTCTTAACTAGTCAAGTAACTACACTTTAACATTAAAATATAGCTGACATGATATAAAAATGCCTAATTGCATTCTTTACTGCATGAGCTCATTTAGAACGATTTATGCAACCTTTACCCTGTCCTATATAGGAGGTAAAGGCTTATCACTAGTGGCCCGACCGCATCGCTTTCAGAATCAAATATCTCCGCTCAAACTTGCGGTACGGCAAAACAAATTCGATAGATCTTTTCACAAAGGCTTCTCTTTCTAAAGAATATTTATTTATTTATTATTTATTAAGACTAAATTAATTACCCCTTCAACAACAGCTGATTTCCTAGGCGGGCGTGTGAATATTAAAAAGAAAACTACAGGGTGTATCAAAAAAAAGGAGACCTTTAGAAATCAACCATATTGTTAAAATTTGAATGCCTTTTCAATTGCACGTATGCTGAACCGTAGTGCGTGAAATATTGATGGGGTGCATATATATTAGAAAAAGGAGACCTTTAGAAATTGAAATAACGTTTAAACAAAAGCTTAGACTGTCTGCTCCTGGGAACAATCTGCCATGCATACTGTACGTAGATCGCATGTTACGCACTCGTGGGCTTAGCAAAGTGCTCGAGGATTCAAATTAGAACAATGGTTGATTTCTAAAGGTCTCCTTTTTCTAATATATGCACTATATATTTCAATATTTCACGCACCACGGTTCAGCATATGTGCAATTGCAAAGGCATTCAAATTTTAACAATATGCTTGATTTCTAAAGGTCTCCTTTTTTTTATACACCCTGTATACAGTATACAGGGTGTCCCAAAAAAAAGTGACACTATAGAAATTATCCTATTGTTGTAATTTGAATGCTCTAGCACTAAGTTAATCCCACAGGTGATAAACTGCTGCTTCTGGAATTTAAAATAAAAAAGCAAACCGTTTATTAGTGTAATCGTTTTGCTTGACTCGGGCGTTAATATTTGGACAAAGCGAAAACGTTTTAAAATGCTTAAATGTAAATACAAGTTCATTAAATTCCCAGGCGTGTAATGGGTAGTTATAATATCGCTTTGTTAGCAGTATATGATCGGTGTGGCGAAGTTATTTTTCGTCAGTGTATAACCCATGCATGATACATGGTTCACTCGTGGGCGGCTGATCGGAAAATACGGCCGCCTCTTTTCTGTGTGTGTTTAAGGATCGCTTACACTTGTGGTTTTAGTTACAGTTCTGTTGTATGTTATACATTATATCTTCATTTGATGTGTATTTCGATTCCATCCTTGTGCGGGGTTATTTACCGTCAAGTTCGCTTTCGGTTATTTTAGTTCAGTTGAGATTGCGACGCATGAATGATTCCCGTCTGCATGGTTTTAGCATTGTTAATTTTGTTAATGTTCTACGCGAGCGGAATGGGGATCGTGTAATTCGCAAGATTAAATTGTTGAAAAGAAAAATAGCTAGGCTATAGTGATTCAGTACCTTTCGCCTTTAATCAAATGGTTATTGGGTATTGTGTTTTCGTATGGTATGGGACGGGAGCGAATTGCACTGCATGATTGCTTCATTCCGAGCTTCCGTAGTTTATTGCATTTGCTTGAGCGAAAGAGGACCACTGTGTTTGCCGTATGACCGAAGGGCATCTCGCACTACATAATTGCTTGCTTGCGACCGAGCACAAATCCTACTATGGATTTAGCAGTTGCCAATGGGTTTGGCGTATGAGAGAAGTTTCTCTCTCAATTGCATGATTGCTTGCGACCGAGCCCGAGTCGCTACTTAATTTGGATTTTAACCAACGTTGCCAATGTGTTTGGCGTGTAAGAGAAGTGCATCTCCCAAGTGCATCATTTCTTAAGACCGAGCACGGGTATATCGCGACTGAATTTGGATTTTAAACAAAGTTGCCAATGGGTTTGGCGTATGAGAGACGAGCATCTCGCAATGCTAGATTGCTTGAGACCGAGCACGAGTAGCTACTGAATTTGGATTTTAAACAAAGTTGCCAATGTGTTTGGAGTATGAGAGACGTGCATCTCGCAATGCCAGATTGCTTGAGACCGAGCACGGGTATAGCTACTGAATTTGGATGTTAAATAAAGTTGCCAATGTGTTTGGCGTATGAGAGAAGTGCATTTCGCCATACATGCTAGATTGCTTGAGACCGAGCACGAGTAGCTACTGAATTTGGATGTTAACTAAAGTTGCCAATGGGTTTGGCGTATGAGAGAGGTGCATCTCGCAATGCCAGATTGCTTGAGACCGAGCACGAGTAGCTACTGAACTTTGGATTTTAAACAAAGTTGCCAATTGGTTTGGCGTATGAGAGACATGCATCTCGCAATGCCAGATTGCTTGAGACCGAGCACGAGTAGCTACTGAACTTTGGATTTTAAACAAAGTTGCCAATTGGTTTGGCGTATGAGAGAAGTGCATCTCGCAATGCTAGCTTGCTTGAGACCGAGCACGAGTAGCTACTGAATTTGGATTTTAAACAAAGTTGCCAATGTGTTTGGCGTATGAGAGACGTGCATCTCGCAATGCTAGATTGCTTGAGACCGAGCACGAGTAGCTACTGAATTTGGATTTTAAACAAAGTTGCCAATGTGTTTGGCGTATGAGAGAAGTGCATCTCCCAATGCTAGATTGCTTGAGACCGAGCACGAGGAGCTACTGAATTTGGATTTTAAACAAAGTTGCCAATGTGTTTGGCGTATGAGAGACGTGCATCTCGCAATGCTAGATTGCTTGAGACCGAGCACGAGTAGCTACTGAATTTGGATTTTAAACAAAGTTGCCAATGTGTTTGGCGTATGAGAGAAGTGCATCTCGCAATGCTAGATTGCTTGAGACCGAGCACGGGTAGCTACTGAATTTGGATTTTAAACAAAGTTGCCAATGGGTTTGGCGTATGAGAGAAGTGCATCTCGCAATGCTAGATTGCTTAAGACCGAGCACGAGTAGCTACTGAATTTGGATTTTAAACAAAGTTGCCAATGGGTTTGGCGTATGAGTGAAGTGCATTTCGCAATGCTAGATTGCTTGAGACCGAGCACGGGTAGCTACTGAATTTGGATTTTAAACAAAGTTGCCAATGTGTTTGGCGTATGAGAGACGTGCATCTCGCAATGCTAGATTGCTTGAGACCGAGCACGGGTATAGCTACTGAATTTGGATTTTACACAAAGTTGCTAATGTGTTTGGTGTATGAAAAAGTGCATCGCGCAGTGCCAGATGGCTTGAGATCGAGCACGAGTAGCTACTGAATTTGGATGTTAAATAAAGTTGCCAATGTGTTTGGCGTATGAGAGAAGTGCATTTCGCCATGCTAGATTGCTTGAGATCGAGCACGAGTAGCTACTGAATTTGGATGTTAACTAAAGTTGCCAATGTGTTTGGCGCATGAGAGACGTGCATTTCGCAATGCTCGATTGCTCGAGACCGAGCACCAGTCGCTACTGAATTGGGATTTTAAATAAATTTCCTAATGTGTTTGGCGTATGAGAGAGGTGCATCTAGCAATGCCGGCATGATCAGTGTTTGCTCCGAGCACGGATAGCTATTGCATTTGGACTTTCAACACAATTGCCAATGTGTTTGGCGTATGAGAGAGGTGTATTTCGCAATGCATGATTACTTGCAACCGAGCACGATTCGTTACTGAATTTGGTTTTAAGGTACCGTGACCAATGTGTTTGGCGTATCAGCAATGTGCATCTTCCAATGCAGGTGTGCTTGAAACCCAGCATGATTAGCCCAGCGCATTTGGATTTACGGCAATGTGACAATGTGTTTGGCGTATACGAAAAGTGCATCTCGCAATTGTGATGATTGCTTGTTACCGAGCACGAGTAGCTACTGAATTTGGCTTTAAGGCAAAGTGGCCAATGAGTTTGGCGTATGGGCGAAGGGCATCTCGCAGTTGTATGATTGCTTGTGACCGAGCACGAGTAGCTATTGACTTGGGATTGAAAGGAAAGGCTCGTGTGTTTCGCGTATGCGCGAATTGCATCTCACAATCCATTATTGCTTGAGTGACTGAGCACGATTAGCTACTGCATTTGGATTTAAGTCATAGTGGTCAATGTGTCATTTGGTGTGTAAGAGCATTGCATCTCGCAATTGTATGATTGCTGGAGACCGAGCACGAGTAGCTACCGAATTTGGATTTAAGGAAAATTAAGTGCCCAATGTGTTTGCCGTATAAGAGAAGGGCATCAGCTCGCAATTTTATGATTGTTTGTGACCTGGTAAGAGTCGCTACTGACTTAGGATTGAAAAAATAGGCTCAAGATTTCGCGAATGAGAGGCTTG